AAGGCGGGACTAGAACTCGCCATCTGGTGGTGATTGGCCCAAAGCCACCTAGACACTTTGGTGTCTAAGGCGGGACTAGAACTCACCGTCTCCTGCTGATTGGCCCAAAGTCACCTAGCCGGTTTTTGTGCCTAAGGCGGGACTAGAACTCGCCATCTGGTGGTGATTGGCCCAAAGCCACCTAGACACTTTCGTGTCTAAGGCGGGACTAGAACTCGCCGTCTCCTGGTGGTGATTGGTCCAAAGTCACCTAGCCGGCTTTCATTCCTAAGGCGGGACTAGAACTCGCCGTCTCCTGGTGGTGATTGGCCCAAAGTCACCCAGCCAGTTTATCATGCCCAGGATGGGACTATAACTCACAGTACACCCAGTCTGACATGCATACACGAAAGTAACCAAATTCTTGCATCTCTCCACCTGAAGCCGACTGAAAATTTGCCTGGCAATTTATGTTTTCGTGAGTTCAAGGGAATTAGCTGCAAGTATAGTCCATTCCTTGAAAGCCCGTTGGGTTTTGGTCTCTGCTTTTGACTAGAACAGAATAGAGCTGGAAGGGACCTTGGAGGTCTTCTAGTCCAGCCCCCTGCTCAAGCAGGAGAACCTATACCGTCTCAGACAAGTGACTGTCCGGTCTCTTCTTAAAACCCTCCAGTGATGGAGCAGCTAGCTGACTTTTCCCCTCGTTTTTTCTGGAGTCCTGTTGCCTCTTCTGTGTTTCTTTTCTGCCCTTCCCTTCCTCAATTTGTCTCTTAGAATCAGAACAGAAGCTGGAAGGGACCTCGGAGGTCGTCTAGTCCAGCCCCCTGCTTGAGCAGGAGAACCTATAGTACCATTTCAGACAAGTGACTGTCGAGTCTCTTCTTAACTCCTATGAAACCTTCGTTTCTTTGTAGATAATAGTTGGATGTTCATATGCCCCCTTTTTTTTGAGTTTTTGCAGTCCAAGGGTGGCAGTCCAAGTATCTGCTTCAAATGTTTGTTTTTTTTCCTAGTAATGCCCCAATGAAACATCGGAGGCAGTAAAGAAAACAGAACCCCAGACCAAAAATCTTGCCTATGTTTCTTCAAGAAGAAATCC